CTGGAGTCAGATTGGATAGGGCTAGAGAGGACGGAGGCCCGGACCTGAAAGTTCTTGAGGTTGCCATAAGGGACTCAGCAAAAAAGCTTATGCTCAGGTAAGGTAGGAAGCCAGGGAGGTAGAGTGGTGTTACAAAAACAAAGCTGCCTGGAGGAGAAGGATTTGGCCGATGGGACTGCAGAGACGGCACCCTGGCCTTAGACATACCCTCTCTGTTGCCACCAATGCCAGGCAACCACAGACTCCCCAGAGCAGCTAAGGCAGCCCTCGGTGGCTACCAGGAATCAGAGAACCACCCAGCATACAGCTCCTTTGCAGACAGCCTGTGCAGAAGGCTTAGGCTGTGTCCGGCAGAGGCTGAGCTGAGCGTGCTCAGTCCCTCACATCAGGTCCTGGGCAGGATCAGTGAGAGCAGAGACCCGGGTGTTACTGTTGCACTGGTGGGCACCTTTCTTCATCGCTCCCTGCAAACGTTTGGTTATAAAAGGCAGGGAATGTGCCTGGCCCAGTCATGTGATGGGGGAAGTGTCTGTCTCAGGCTAGACATGTGCAGGCTTTTAATTCTGGACTACGTCTGCACAGTCAGCAACGCCCTCGACAGATACAATAACCCTGGTGTCTGTAGAGAAGTGTACATTCTGTGCTTCCCACTGGAACAAGGGGGAAACGGAAGCCCTCACTCTCAGAGATAAGTGATGGAGCTAAGATTTGAACCCAGACCTGTCTCATTCTACATTCAGGGGTTCTCCCTTACCCCTACCCAGTACCTGGGGTAGCGTTAGCATCTCAGCTGAGCCTGTAGCACACAGTGTACAAAAGTGGCTTTCAGAAAGGAAAAACTATACTGCGCTTTTCAACCTCTAAATTAGAGACTCTCGAACTTTCTCTGGCTGGGCACGGTGCCACACACCTGTAGCCCTAGCACCCTGGGTGGCTGAGGCAAAATTGCAAGCTTGAACCCAGCCTGGGCAACTTAGTGAGGTCCTGTCTCAAGATTTTAAAAATGGAAGGGTTCAATGGGGTTAACAATATCGCTCAGTCCAAAGGCCCCAGGTTTGATTTCCAGTACCACAAAGAAAAAGAAAATAAAAAGCTTTAGCTGCCTCTGCATCTTTCCAGGGCCTTGTAGAAACACAGGCTGCAGGGCCTCACCCCTAGAGTTTGTGATGCTGCAACACCTCTGGGGTGGGACCTGAGAACCTGCACTCTGACCAGGCCCCAGGGGATGCTGTCGGCCTTGCGTACAGACTTTGAGGACACTGGCCTAGATGAACGGTTCCCAACCTTGACCGAACACCAGCATTGAGCTGGAAAGTTTCTGAGACTTGGATCACGTCCCAAGAGGTCTGCTGGAAGTGCTTGAGGATCCTGCTCCAGCACTGAAAGTTTTCAAATCTCTCCAAATGATTCTAATGTAAAACCAAACCTGAGACCCCTGCCCCATGTAGTAGAGGAAGGAGGATTACACAGTAGGGGAATGAGCCCGCCTGTGATGTCTGCCATACCCACCAACCACTGGGTACAGTCGGCTCAGGCAGGGATCCAGAAAGCTCTATCACTGCTAACAGTCCTACGAGCTAACACTTGCAGGGCACTCACAAGGTCCTAAATGCTTTACATCTAGTAAATCACTACATCCTCATAACCCAAAGAGGCGAGAGATAGTATTGTTTGCAATTTACCTTTGAGCCTAATGATACACAAGGGATGCGGGGTCACTTGTGTGGGGGCAGGGAGGGGTCACACGGCCAGAAAGTGATGGAGTCACATTCAAAAGCAGGCTGCTTGCCTCTGGGTGCTTGTTCTAAACTGCTGCGCTAAGGGAAATGTATCCGTGATTAATTCTTGTAAAATAAAGATTCTCTTGTGGAGGAAGGACCCCATTTTGCATCTGTTCCTTGCTCTGGTAGCCTTTCAGGAACTTTGGGCCGAATATGATATGATTCTATGTTGTAAATGTTTGTCAATTTTTTTTAAACACACCTACATTGATCTTCCTCCTCGGCCGCCCCAAAGGCGTGATCCTTCCCCACCACCCTCCCCCAACCCACATTCCCGGCAAATAGCTATTTTGCAATTCAACTCAATTAAGCCAACATCGACTAAATGTGAACTTCGAGCTACAGCCTGAGGATGCCGAGATCTGAGACCCTGGCACGGAGAGGGAGAGGGAGTGACCTGCCCAAGGGCAAGTTACAGGCAAGGAGGGAAGCTCAGCTACTGTTCCTGTCTTTGAGGACTTGAGAACAAATGAGGAGAGAAAGGTGGAGGTGCAGGACCGAGCTCTTCTCTCCCCTGGGAAGCCCCAGGCCAGGGATCTACAGGGCTCAGACGGCTGCAGCAGAAAAGACTCCCAGTTGGGGCCTGGCGGGGACCAGGAGAGGGGCGTAATGCCCGTTCTTAGGCCAAGAAGCAGCTTCCATTCACACATCAGTCTGGGCTCGCTCCCCGACTCCACATAGCCCCAACCCCTCCAGCCAGACACCAGGAGGAGACCCCTATTCAGGGCTCCGGCTTCCAACAGGACTCTGATCTGCACCATAATCTCCAGACGACATCATATACAACCCTTGTACCTTTGCTCCTAACCCTAATTTGTAAATGTCAACATAGTAAATACCTGTAGCCACAGTTTACCTTGTGTGAGCACATCTTTTTTTTTTATTTAATTAAATGAAGAGGTACAGCTTCATGAATAGAATTCACCCAGGACCCTGTACCTCTGAGAGGCTCTGCTGAATGATCAGGGAACAGCAACCCGGAGAGAAAGACTGACTTTTCCTCAAGGTCACACAGCAAGCCAGAGTCAGAGTACAGACAGACTCGACTCCTCACCCCCAGGCCCCGCTACTTGGGCTCCTGAAGGCCACCCTCCCCTACCAAGCGTTGTCTTCAATGTCCCCACCCTCGGGTGGCGTTGTGTTCTCGAGTGGCTTCAGCCACAGCCTTTATGCCAACCGTCCCAGTCCAGACTCACCCTCCTGGATGCCCCACACTCACCCTGTTTGCCAAGGGCCCCAAACCACCTTTTCCTCGAAACCTCCCACCTACATTCCTACCATCTTCAGCTGCTCAAGCCAGAAACCTGGGTGCTACCCTGGGCACTCCCCTTGCCATCGCCCCATAGCCGTGCGTGCCCAGCAAGACCCAGGGGCTCTGCCTAGCTCCCATCTCTCTTTCTTTTTTGCATTTTTCTCTTTGTGTGTGTGTGTGTGTGTGTGTGTGTGTGTGTTTGAGACAGGGTCTCGCTATGCAGTTCAGGCCAGCCTTGAGCTCATTTTGTAGCCCAGGCTGGTCTTGAACTTGTAATGATCCTCCTGCCTCAGCCTCGGAGTGCTGGGATTACAGGCGTGCACCACTACACCCGGGGTATCTCCCATCACTTGAACCTGTCCCCTCCACCACCATAAGAATGCAGGCTCACCTTTTTACCTTTCCCCCACTCTCACACCCTCCACTCCAGCACCTTCTCCACAAATGCCTGCACACAGGTCCTGGCACGGGACCACGTGCTGGGATTCAGGCTGAGCAAGGCTCCCCACTACCCCTAGGAGTACGTGCACACCCTCCTCCCGGCATCCACATTCCCGGGTCCTTGCAGACTGGTCTCCCGCTTGGTCTCGGCTAGGTTGACCCAGCTTGGCAACTGGCCTCCCAAACACCCAATTCAGGGGGCACTGCACACACCCAGCAGAGGGTTCTGCCCTCCTCTGGAATCCCATCCAAGACACCCAAGACTTCAGTCTGCTGGGGATGTGACCGCGATAGAGCGCTTATCTAGCCTCCTTGAGACCCTGTCCCGCCAAAAAACAAAAAACAAGAAACTTCAGTCTGCTCCCAGGCCAGGCCGCGGGCGGCTTCCTGGAGCTTGGGGAATGCGCCAATGCCAAAAGAGCTCAGGCTCAGTACGTCGTGTTGATAGATGGACCAAAAAACCGGAAGGATAAAGTGAAAATCCAACGACCTGTTTTATTTCGCTCGTTCCAGCGCCCACACACTGGTTTTCTGAAAGTTCCTCCAGCTGTCTCACTTCCCTACTGTAATGACTGAGGCTCATGACATTCTTCTACGTCAAAGCGCAGACAGTCCTGCCTGTGCCCTGCACAAACGTCTTCGAGCAGGACCAGGGAAAGGCCGAGCCCAGACCTCAGCGACGTCTTCAGACCGCAGCTTCCCAACACCCTCGGGAAGAAGGTGTCCCTGAGATTGGCCAGGCCAGCCTTGCGGTTTGAGGCGGTGAGTCACCTTCTGGCGGCAAGTCAAGGCGCGCTCACTGCGCCCTTGTTTGGAGAGGACAGGAGCCACACTCAGAGGCCCAGAGACAGAAGGGCGGTTAGGAGTCGCCGAGGCCCTAAGAGAGACAGGAAGCACACACAGACAGAAGGACCACAACGACCCGAGCCAGGACCGGCGCGCACAGAGAGATGAGAAACACAGACGCAGCCAGACCCAGAGCAAAGAGAGCGAGCAGAGGGAGAGACAGGGAGAGGGGGCGCGCCCGGGAGCCGAGGGAGGCGACGTGCAATCGCCTGGAGGTGGCCGGAGCCCCTGCGCACGCTCCTCGATCCCCGCCACCTCCCCCACCCGACGTGAGCGAAAGCGAAGCCAATGAGCTGCCAGAGCCGGGCATTACCTCACCAGAACTGGCCGCCATTGGTTGGCCCGGTCGCCGGGCGGGCTGTTGCTACAACAGCCCAGCCTGGTTGCGGAGGGCTGCTGGAGCTGCGAGGAAGGAAGGCTCTGAGGAAGAGATTGTTGTCCCCACCTCTTCCCATCCTCTGGCGGGGCCCACGGATCCCGACTCAGGCCCCAAGGGGAAAAGCAAGCTCGTGTAGCCTCAGGGACCAGAACTCCTCCCACGCCGCCCATCACCCGGGCCCCGCCACAACCTGCCTGCTTTCGGGTGTCAAGCCCACCCCACACCCGAAGGCCCGCAGCCCTTCACTGCGCGCCCAGTTCGCGCACCGTGCAAACAGCAACGCGCGCCATCAGCAGCCAGGGGCCGCGCGGGGCTGTGTAGGGACAGAGACCAGCACGCCTCCGCCTCCGTCGCTGCCTCTGGCACCCACCCCCGTCAGAACAGGCAAAAGGTACAGCAGGAAATTGCGTGACGCTGTGTTACAGTCTAAACGAGGGCTGGCAGAGGGAGTGCAGGGACGCAGAGGAAGCGTCATCCTGCCCGGTCAGCAAGGCATCTGGGCGGAAGGTTTGCGGAGCTGAGGAGGGTGGAGACGGGGTTCCCGGCACAGGGAACAGGCTGCCGATGCAAAGACTGGAAGCAAGGCAAGGCAAGGAGCGCTTGGCTCCCGGAGCAGAAAATTAGATGTTGGAGGTGAGGCTAAAAAGGAGGAGGAGGAGTTTGGGCTAAAGCTGAGGTAGGAAACAAGAACAAGGTCCCAAACGATGTGAAGGCAACATGATTAGGTTTGCATGTTAGGAACTTCACTCTCAGGGCCTCTGCCCTGAGCTACATCCCCAGCATTTTTTTTCTTTTTTTTTTTTTTTTGAGATAGGGTCTCAGTAAGTTGCCAGCTGGGCTTGAATTTGCAATCCTCCTGCCTCGGCCTCCCACAACTCTCTTGTTGCTGCACGAAGGATGGCCAGGAGGGAGCTAGAAAACCAGTTACTGCAGGGATTGTGAGAAATGGGACAGGGGGACTAAGACCCCTAGCTAAGGCGGAGGTGGGAAGAACTAAACTCAGGTGGGGTATAGGAATGTGAAGCCATTGGCCAGTGACTGAGTAGATGTCACCAACTCACACGGAAGCTGTCAGGTTTTCCTGCCTGGCAACCAGACAGGATCGCCACTCCCCCTTCCACACAACATCATTGTCACCTGTGTCCGCAAATTTTGTCCAGAGTCCTGCTGCACTGAAAAAGCTGTCTGTACAGTGTCTGTCTCTGCTTCTCCCCGATAATTCCTCTTTCTCCAGCACTTAGCGCAGAGCTGCATCCCAAGCACCATTCGCCAGCATTAAGCTGATCCAAACCTCCCTCAGCCCCTGCCCCTTAGCCTGCCCTTGCCCCAGCCTGCCCTCCTTCTGGCCTCCACGCCTGTCTCCCCCAGCAACAGGGCGCCTGTCTAGGAGCTGGAATGGTCCCGGTACCACCATGTCTCTCAGCCCTCCTACCCCCAGAGCAGGCGGGAAATGTTGCTTATCTATTAGGTCAGATTTCTGCAGATCGGCAGGGCTCCTTTTCTAGTTAACAGGTTATTAGAGTACAATAATGGGGTTGTTGTGTAGCCTGGTACACAATGACTACCCAGACTATCAGCTGGCGATGACCTGCTTCTTACTGGATGTTAGAAGAGGGTGAGAGGCCTGGCTAGGACCCCGTATGGCACAGCCCTGCCGTGGGCTATGGGACATTTGCTTAGCTCATCACAAAGCGATGTTCGGACTTCTCATTGTCCTGTGTACTTGTTGGAGAAACCCGCAAGGTGAGGTATAATGGTAAGATAAGAATCCTGTATCTCTGCCATAATGCCACACTAATAGCATCACAATCTCACCTAATTCCTCGATATGATGGTTCCAGATATCCTGACCCAAGGCACAAAGATAGGCCAATCTAGCAGCTTCTAAATTTCAAGAGAATCAACCCAGATCTTACAATCAGTCAGCGTCAAGAGCACTAATCCAGATCTTCCCGATGCCAGTGCCCTTTGAATCCTCTTATTCAAACTCTGGTATTGCAGACGAGGACCCTGAGGGGCAAAGAAGGGAAGTGACCGCTCAGTTATGCACTTGGGTCGACCAGCAGGGATATGGCGGGTCCTGACCCTGAAACTCTAAGTCTGTGCTTCTGGACATGGATGATTTTTCAGAATCATCTTCATTTCTGGCCTCCACGGTAGGAGGATGGGCTGGGGGAGGGAAGACCAGAGATTGGGAATGGTTGCTATGGAGTCTGTTCTGACCAGCAGTGTGGGCTGGAGTGGAGCTTTTATGCTCAAAGTTTAGAGGCCCAGAATTGCCCAGACATCATTTACATGACACCTTGGTGAATTCCTGGGTACAACATGCAGAACTGCTGTGGTGCTCAGCAATGCATGAGACCTGGAGTGTGGAAGGTCTGCTCGCCCCATTGGCTGTTGGTCTCAGCAAGGCTCAGGGGTCTGATGGTGAGGCAGCTGGGAGCACCCACAAACAGCAGTAGGGGGAGCTTTCTAGAGCTCCCATGGTATGCACACCGATGGGCCCTTAGGCAGCCTCTTCATGGAGGGGCGGGGCCAATATAAAAGAGGAAGGTCAGGGCAGAAGTCTCCTGAGGTTTGCAGTCAGAGCCATTTACAGGCCCTCCTTGCTTTTTTTTTTTTTCCCTTCAATACCGGGAATCAAGAGCCTTCCTTGCTATGCTGAATACCCAGCTATAGTCCAGCTACAGTCCTGCACTTTTTTTTTTTTTTTTTTTTTTTTTTGAGACAGGGTCTCGCTGTGTGGTTCAGGCTGCCTTGAGCTCACTTTGTAACTCAGGCTGGTCTCAAACTACAATGATCCTCCTGCCTCAGCCTCCTGAGTGCTGGGATTACGGGCGTGCACCAAGTCCTGCACTTCTGTATTCTTCCTGGAGGCACCAGAGCTGGAAGTTTAAAGATTACATTTCCCAGAAACTCTTAGAGTTGGGTTCCAGTTGGCTTCTGCCAATGGGAAGTATCCACACAGAATGAGGTGGCAGGAAGGAGGAAAATCATTCTGCTTCCGCTTCCAGAAGCAGCACCAGAGGGAGTCTGTGCTCCTCTCTCTGATGAATGGCAATGATAGTCCAGTAGCACCAATGGGGAGAAACTCCTGAGCTCCCAGTGACACCACACCCCCATCTGTCCTGCTAGTCCTTCTAGCAGGCCTGTAACCAACTCCCTGAATTCAACCTCTCTCTGTTTGAAGTACCTAGAGCAGTTTGCATTTTCCTGACTCCATACTGAGGAATACACTTATCAAGGAGATATGAATGCCCGCTGTGCGCTAGTTTTTTTCCTTCCTCCTCCTCTTCCTTTCTCTTCTCTTTTCTTCTCCCCCTCCCATTTTCCTTTCCCCTTCCCAGTTCCCTCTTCCTCCTCCTCCTCTGCTCCTGTTTCTCCCCTCTCATTCTGTCCTCCTTCCTTTCCTCCTCATCCTCCTCCTCAGGGCCAGGACCTTCAGCCTAACGTCTCCTGCACATTAGGCAGGTGTTCTACCACTGCACTACATTCCCAGCACCATGTGCCAGAAATTCTAATAACTAGGAGTATGAGACTGAAAGAGTGGAACAGTGGGTGGGGTCAAGAGATCGGCAGGCACAAAGCCCTATGGGGCCTTTTAAGCCAAAAGAAAAACTTAAAGCTTCAGCCTGGTTTCCTTGAGAAGAGGACCCTATATGAGGAAAGGATGTAATCTCATGTCTTTCAGGGTAGAAGGTAAAGCAAGGAGAGAGCTGGGAGCTATTTGAAGGGGTCAGACTGAGACGATAGAGACGGATGCTGGTGGAGAGAGGTTTATTGTTTTAATATTAGGTTCTGACAACATCAGGTCATGACATAATGACCTCCACCTGGTCTAACAGAAAAAGTCTTTCTTACAGCATTAAATGGGACAGAGGTGCCAGCCATGGTAGTACATGGCTGTAATCCTAGCACTCAGGAGGCTGAGGCAGGAGGATTACCATGAATGTGAAGCCAGACTAGACTACGTAGTGAGCTCAAGGCCACCCTAAACTATATAGTGAGAGCCAGTCTCAAAAAATAAAAATGAATGGGAGAGGGTGGCCATGCTAGGCCATTTGGCGGGGGGGAGCTGCACTGAGGGAAAGGGTGACAGCAAGCTAGAACAGAAGGGGCAGCTGATACAGGGCAGGCTGGGTGGGGCTAGGGAGGATTTGGGGCTTCTTGTGGGTTGGAAAGCGTGAACAACTCCCACAGGCCCCAGAAAGAAGGGGGCAGCCTCAGTGCTCAGCACAAGGGCCTATGGAAGCTGGGTGTGTTTCTGCAGCACAGGAGTGTCAGAGCCCAAGAAGGAAAGAAGCTGGGCTGCAGGCTCAGCAGACTCACAAAGGGGAATGGAGAGTTTTTAGCCCAGGTCTCAAAACTGGGTCAAGACGGCACTGGAGAAATACCGTGCTCTGGGATGATGGCTGGAGAAGAGCGCTTGCGGCCGGGCTGTGCGGCAGAGGTGGAGCCCAGTGGACTCACTGACAGATGCACGCTGCAAGCCGGATGCGAGGGCAAGACAGGAACCGTGGACACCCACGGGCTTCCAGACACAGAGGGCTTTTGAGGGTAGCCCTCCCATTGAAAACAGACACGTGTGCTAGAAATTTTAAAACTTCTTTAAAGAAATGAAGGTTGTAAGAACTAGCTGGGGCAAGTTGGAAGGAAATGTATGCACGCCCAGGGAGGAAAGCGGTCACAGAGACCACTTTTGTCCTGGTGGCACTGGGCGAGAATTACAAAGAGCAGGCACAAACAAGGCCCAAAATAAGGGACAGGGCATTGCTGCCAATGCCACAGGATGTCAAAAAGAAAAGAACATGAGCTGGTATTGTAGCTCAGGAACAGAGCAGTTGCCTAGCATGGGCAAGACCCTGAGTTTGATTCCCAGCATCGCAAAAAAAAATGACAATTTTATGTCAATAAATTTAAATTTTTAGGTGAGGTGCAAAAATTTTTAGAACAAATAGAGTTTACCAACACAGAACTAAAGAAAAAAAAAATGTTACAGTCACAATCACTTCGGAAAATAGTTTTAGCTTTTTCTAGAAAAATTGGAAGCTTTCTGTAACCAACAACAATAGTTCTTGGTATAAACCACAAGCAAATCTGTGCCTATGTGTATCACAACAATGTGCAAGAATATCTTTAGAGTACAGAAATACTGTTAATAAAGAGCTGCAAACTGGAGCAAGCTAAATATCCACCGAGAGTAGAATGTGCAAAATAGCTAGGAGAGAATTTTGTAGGTTTCACCTCAAAGATACAATAAATGGTTGAGGTGATGGATGTGCTAATTACCCCTATTTTATCATTACAAGGTATATGAGTGTATCAAAACTTCACACTGTAACCCATCAATGTGTACCATAACTGTATCAATTTTTAAAGAGTCCTGTGTCATACACATTGTAGTGAATACACGATGACAATGCTTGAACTGCAATTATACATAACAAGACGAGTGTTAGAAATATTAAAAGAGGGCCGGGGATATAGCTCAGTGGTACAAGCGCCTGCTTGGCAAGTGCAAGGTCCTGAGTTTGATTCCCAGTACCAAAAAAAAGAAGGAGAAGAAATATTGAAAGGAAGAATGAAGATACAAAGAGAATATACTCTATGTGACTCCCTCAATATAAAGTTCCAACACTGGCAAAACTAATACATATACGCAACATTCTTTAGGCATTTATAAAAGCTTTTTTTTTCTTTTTTGAGACAGGGTCTCACTATGCAGTTCAGTTTTAGTATATGTGCTGCTGGAGCAAGCACTGGCTATGCAGTTCAGGCTGTCCTTGAGCTTACTATGTAGTCCAGGCTGGCCTCAAACTTGTGGTGATGCTCCTGCCTCTGCTTCCCAAGTGCTGGGATTACAAGCGTGCTCCACCAGGCCTAACATACAAAAAGTTTTTGAATTCTGGCAATGTTATCTTTTTAACCTGAGATGGTAGATATGTGGATGTTTTGTTTTGTTTTGTCTTTTTGAGACGGTGTTTCAATATGTAGCCCAGGCTGGCCTCAAACTTGCAGTGATCCTCCTGCCTCAGCTATCCGAGTCCTGGGATTACAGGCATGCGCCACCACCAACTATTTATCTTTGTTAAATTATGCATTTATTTTCACATACTTTCTATATATAATTTACCTTTTACAATATAAAAAAGTGTTCCAAAGCCTAGAGGTTGGTAGGCAATGGCACCAACCTCTAATTTAAAGGCAGCTTCAGGAGAAGAGGGTAAGTAGGGAGACGGAGAGTCCATACTGAAGGACCCTCTCCAGCCATATCAAGATTTGCATACCTACTGTATGCCCGGGAAAAGACCTTGAGCCAGGCTCAGTGGCACAGGCCTATAATCCTAGCTATTTGGGAGGCTGAGAGAGGAGGATTGTAAGTTCAAGGCCAGCCTGGGCAATTCAGTGAGAGCCTGTCTGAAAATAAAAAGGGCTGGAGATGTTGTAAAGTGCTTGCCTAAGGCCCTGGGTTCAATTCCCAGCACTAAGGAAGGAAAAAAAATCTTGAGTCTACAGTCACATGTGGGATCTGAGAGGAGAGACTGACACCCATGTTAGCTGAGTGGAAGAACATAGGTACAGCAGCCATATCTAGGGAAGAACGCCAGAATATATGAATAAGCCCCCGAATAAATAAGGGAAAGACTGCATCATAGAACAAATAGACAAGCAACTAAAAAATACTAGCTTTTAATGTACAAAATTACATAATTGGGTCATCTTATGGGAAAGAGGTGAGACTCAGTGCCATGGAATCCCCCTCATTCATTTAAGAGATTGAATATTTCCAGAGAAAAGGTTGGGATCAAGAAATCGAAATGTGTTGGTGGTGAAGTCCAGCCCCAAGGCAAGAGTTGAGAAGGTATCCGTGCCATGACAGGTGGAAACGCACCACAAGACAGGGCCCAAGCAGTAAGAGGCTGGAAAGCCCACGCACACAGGGCCTCTGCTGGTCAAGGATGACTGGCAGTGTCCCATGTCCCAGTCTTCAGAATTCAACCAAATAATAAATTCAACCAAGATCCTTAACTTTGATGCCAGATAGCAATACTATTGCCAGGCATGACGGTACATGCCTGTAATCCCAGCACTGGGGAGGCTGAGGCAGGATGACAGCCATGAGCTTGGAGCCAGCCTGGGCTACATAATGAGTTAAGGCCAGCCTGGAGTACACAATGAGACCCTGTCTCAAAAGAAAAGAATGAGAAACCACTTTGAAGATATCAATATGTAATACAACAAGCATTATTAATTTCCTACCACTTTGTTTGTAACTCTGTATTGTCTGTACTGTTCTTTTGCTAGTTTGTAAAAGGTTGTCTGTCTGTTAATGTTTTCCTCCTTTTATTTTTAAAATAAAAAATTTTTTAAAAATTTTAAAGGAAGAAAAGAAAAAAAAGGATAGTACCATTGTTCATCTCAATTGGAAGAGAAATGTAGAATCCTAGGGGCTAGGGGTGTAGCTCAATGGTAAAGTGTTCGCTTAGTGTGCAGGAGGCTGAGGGTTCAGTTCCCAAAATTGCAAGGAAGGGGTAAGGGGAGGAAGGAAGGAAGGAAAGGAGGGAGGGAGGGAGGGAAGGAGGGAGATAGAGGTCTATACATACTTACTTTCTTTAACATAACAAGATAAGGAAAAGATGAATCTATAACATTGACATTTGTTGTGTAAGTTGTGCTTACAATTATGGCAAGAATTCTCATAATCATTGTCTTGTTTATGCATTTTCTGCTACCTTTTTGTATTTACAACAAAATCTAGGCAACTAATTTTATGTCTGATTAGATTTACAGAAGTTGCTTAAGTGCTGGGGAATAATTTCTTCATCATATTTGCAAGTCTCCCTTGTCAGGTGTTTGAAGTGTTGGAATCGGATAAATTAAATTTGTAATTGTAGTTTGAAATATCAGAAGGAATTTGCTTAATTAAATGTTTAAGTGGTGTTAAAAGTTTATGGGAATTTAATCTGTTGAATTTATGACTTAATTGAATAGGAATCAATGAAGAAGTAAATGTGATCTTATATAAAAATTACGAAGTTCATAAATAAAATATCAAGCTCCATAAGTTGAGAATAAAAGCAAAACGAAGAACTAGGGTTAAGATCTATAGCTTTAAGAAATTAAGTATTGATTGAAAGGTAAGTAATTGTATTTACCCCTCACTAGCTGGACTCTCACATCTGAATGGATTACCTAAAAAAAAAAAAAAAAAAAAAGTTGCCCCGAGGATACTAAAATTCTAAAAGTGCAATAATAATGCACGCATGCTCCTGCCGGAAGCCTTGGCACTGCGGTCATCCACGTGGAGGACATACGTGGGCCACGGGTGAAGGTGCAGTGTTCTCCCAGGGGATTGTGTTTTGCATTTGTTAATTTGGCAGTGATGGGGATCAAACCCAGGGCCTCACACATGCTAGGCAAGGGCTCTCCAGCTAAGCTTTACACTGACCTTGCCTTTCTTCTTCCTGCCTTCTTTTTCCTTCCTTCCTTTTTTTTTTTGGTACCAGGAATCGAACTCAGGACCTTGTGCTTGCCAGCCGCTGAGCTGTATCCCTTTCTTCCTTCCTTCCTTCTATTCCTTTCTTTGTTTCTGTCTGTCTTTCTTTCCACTTTGAGGCAGGTCTCCCTATGTAGTCCAGGTTAGCTTTGAATTCACTCTGTGGCCCACGTTGGTTTGGAACTTGCAGTCTTCCTGCCTCAGCTTCCCAAACAGCTGATTATAGATTATAGTATGCACCACCACGACTGGCCCAGGATCCAGTTTTTGCTTATTTTCTGTACATTTTTCTTGCTCCTGCCAGCACCTGGGGGCACTCCCAGCCAGTCCCGTTTTGATGGATTTCTTGGCATCCTTCACCTACCCGTCCCCCTGGTTATTTACAGTGCAGCACACGTTCACCGTGTGGGGAAGGAAACCCTCTTCATGTCCTATACTTGAAAGTGTCCATGCACATAAACCTACCCACTGATCGCTCAATTTCGTGATCTAAACAAATCAATTTTTCTTTTTCATTTAAAATGCTTTATTTTGTCAGAAACTCTTGACAGTTGCTCTACAGGTGTTTCACAGTGGTTTTAAAATACCTGAGTCTTATTGGTTGGAGTCTTATTGGTTTGGGTGAATGGGAAAAAACCACATCGGCTCCGTCAGGCTGCAGGAATCCCAAGGCATCTTTAGGAACAGACGCAGCACACGGAGGAGCCACATTTCCCCTGGCGCGGGGCCCCCTTGGCGGCGAGGAAAGGTTCCCTTTCCCTCTTCTCACTGCAACACTTTCATTTCCCTTTCAGTAGATTCAGGCTGCCCAGCTAAAACTTTACTGCAGCAATTTGAAAATAAAATAAAGGGTTCGAAATGATACAATTTCATTGCAGTGTTGATTTTTATCATCACTGCATCCATTATATGAATTTCCCCCTTAATAGCCTAATATTGCTCACCAAAAAAAAATCACAGCCTAAGCCTTAAATACATTCAGGAAAATATGAATTAGACATTACAGAAAATTCTGGATTCTCCCCTATGTGTTTCTTAGCTTTGTATTTATAGGGAACTCTCCAGGGAGGACAACTGAGTCACCCAGAGATACCTTCCACTCCTGGGTCCTTAGCCAAGTCACCATGTTTACGCTATCAGAACATCTAACCCTCCATAGTCGGGGGCCACCACGGCGGGACAGAAGCCTGGGACAATAAAACAAGCCCCTGGGTGCCACAGGCTCTTCCCCTTCATAACAGGTATGTTGCTTCTCATCTCTATTGTGTCCCTGTGACATAAGGTCCCTCTTCTCTTGTCAACCCCGCCATACCCCAAGATGATTTTGTTTAATGTCATTAAATGATAAGATTTTGTTTAATGTCATTACAAACACTGGGAAACGATTCAGCTCTCCCTGCTCAAAGAACCAGCTTTGGGGCAGCTTTGTGAAGGTTAAGCTTTAGTTCAGAGGAGGTTAATACATAGCAGAGCTGAGCTGTTGGGGACATTAGCTGTCATTGTCTTTTTGGTTTTGTTTTGTTTTGTTTTTCTTTTTGAAACAGGATCTCGCTATGCAGTTCAGCTGGCCTTGAGCTCACTTTGTAGAGACCAGGCTGGTCTCAAACTCGCAACAATCCTCCTGCCTCAGCCTCCAGAGTGTTGGGATTACAAGTGTGCACCACCACGCCCAGCAACATTGTCTCTTTGCATCCTCGATTTTACATTGTGAAAACTGGGGATCAGAGGAGGAAGAGGTACCCCAACTTTGAAGGCACCCCCAGTAAGGCCCTGCCAGCCCCAAAAGGCTAAAGCTGGCTTCTCCTCTAGGGTATGCTGGTGTTACTAGATGGTTTCTACCTCCTGGGTGCCAGGCCAGGAAGTGCTCCACACAGGAAGTACCACTTCCGTTTGTCAAGGAGAAACCGGAAGTCCATTTGAGTCAGCAGCCTGCTCAGGGGTACAGCACCTGATTCCGAAGGTGTGGAAGGCTTCTTCGTGCCAGTATGTAGGTCTGCCTGCCGCTGTTTGCTGAGGGCACATGAACAAGTTGCAGCGAGGTTTCCTCATGACGATGGAACGGGATGAGGTTAGCACCAGCTGACAAAGGAAACCTTGAGGTCATGGGCATAGCCGGGCGATACCAGGTAACTTGGTTTGAGACCCTTTTGCAACAGCAGTAAAATGACTGAATTTTCTCTCTGGCTTGAGGCTTAGAACTTGAGTGTCTTTTGGGCTGATTTATGTGGCTGCCACACTGATGAGACAGTTTGCCCTCCATCCAGGAGCTGCAACCAAGGAGTGGGGTTTGGGGGTCTCAGTGTGTGCAGAGACCCTGGGATGCAAAACTGCCTGGATGTCAACATCTGTGGGCTCTGAAGGAGTCGCCGTTCTCTACCCTGGACGGGCAGATGGTCCTCCATCTTGGGTTCTTGCCTAGCTCTGGAAAAGGCTATGACTGAATTGGGGGGAAAAGTTATTTCTGGTCAGGAAAATTCTTGACTCCAGCTCTGCACATTTTTGTTCCTAGGTCTTAGCTCTGGGTATTTTTGTTTTCCTTCCTGTACCAGGAATCGAACTCACGACCTTGTGCTTGCCAGGCAGGCGCTGTGCTGCTGAGCTAAATCCCCAGCCCCCCTAGGTCTCAGCTCTGGAAGCACTCCATCCTAAGCTATAGAAAACACTTGTTTTTGTTTTTTTTTTCAATACTGGCGGTTGAACTCAGGACCTTGCACTTGCCAGGCAGGCACTTATGCCATTGAGCTATATCCCCAGCCCCCTAGAAAACACTCTCTTTATGACCATGAGAAACACTCTGCCCAGGACTCTAAAAAAAAACACAGTGTCCAAAAATCTAGAAGAGCTTCTACCATAAGATCTGGAAAACCCACTGCCAGGGCCGCCCTGACTCTGGAGGTCTCTGAGCCCCGTGTGCGGTGGTAAATGAGGAACGGGGGCTCTTGGCTGGAGGGGGCTGTGGACGGGTAGTGCTTCCCGATTTCCGGCTTGTACACATGCATGGCAGGTTTCACTGTCACGGGGACAGCACTGAAGAGAGAACTGGGAGAGGACACGTACACTGGCTTCCAACCATCACAAGGTTGGGGCCGTTCTGTGAACGTAGAGGACTCTGACCCCTGAATGTGGGGACTGCTGGGGCCCTGGGCTGGACAGAGTCCAGCCCCTGGGTGTGGAGGAATCTAAGACATGCACGTGGCTAACTCCTTGTCCCTTGATTTATGACATCCCTCTCTAAGCCAACAACTTCAATTCAAGGGGCCATGAAAAGCAGGAATGTTCAGAAAACCTGACATTCCCGATGTCCTCCTATGTCCTGCCACTGTCCCAGTGGTCTTGATAACACACATGCATCAAGGCATTTTCTCCCATCCAGGAGGCCTGGACTTTGAGCACTGGGAGGTGAGGCCCATTTTCTAGCTGACATCTGAGTGGAAAGAGTGTCTGTCACAGTTCCCTGACACCGTCTCAGCAGAGGGGGCCCAGGAGATGGATGCAGGGTGCCAGTTTTGATGGGGGGCAGGGGTCAGCGTGAAATTGGAGGGCCTACCAGGTTGTACACACCAGTAACAAGGCTAGGGGGCCTAGCTGAAATGGGGCATGTGTGTCAAGGGACACCACCTGGTTTGGCAGAAAAAAGACCTGGGCCCTTGAGACTAATGGATATGCCCCATGAGCTAAGCAAAGCAGCAATGTCACCGCAGCATGTGGACAATGACACCCCGCCCCTGCTCCAAATGCCCCATCATGAGCTCTGGGGCCATTGTGCAGCCGCCATGCTAGACAGATCCTGCCCTGCTCTGGAAAACACGTTCCCCTTCCCCCAGGAAGGGCCTCCAACAGCCCTGGTCTCACAGAGCCTCTGCGGCTCTGAGAAAACCCCAGGGAGGCTCCACTCCTGCCTCCGGAACACATGTGGACCCTGACTTTGGAGAGGCTCCCTCTGACAAATGCGGGAAAAAGCACTTTGTAAAACTAAAAGGCTGAGCCTGGCATGCGGCAGATGCCAGCTAAACGTGTGTGGAATGAAGGAGTGGTCCTGCGAGAGCTTTGCAAACTGCAACGCACAGCGCGAGCCTCAGATATTATTCTTACTGTGACTAAATAAAGCAGCTATCAGGGGCATTATGGGAAATTCCATATTTCTCCCTAACGAGATCTTTTTCTTCTGGGTTCTCACTAGAAGGGGAGCGTGGGGCTTGGCTCACTGTGGGTATCAATAAACGTTTGACAAATGGATGGACTCATGGATGGATAAACGAGGGATCTATGGACGGATGCATCGCTGTGCAGACGGGGAGTGAATGGAAAGATGGATGGAGCACCTGACACATTTGCCTACCCAACAGCCGCCTCCCTCTTCCCCTGCCTTCTTCTTTGCTAAATGAGTCCTGATTTTATTCTATCCCTGGCAGCTTAGGAGGTGATAGGGCCCCTCCCCAGGCAGCACATCTTGTCTAGTTGGAGGCCACCATGATGACAGATTTCCTTGCCAGAGAGTTGTTCAGAAATAGCCATGTGGTGTGATTCTGGCCCAGGAGACATGAGGCAAGTCTCGTAGGGCCTCTGCAGCAACATTAATTTCTCATTAAAGGAACACAAACAGAGCACATTCTTTCTTGTGGCCTTTGACACAAATGTGTGAGGATGACATGCACAGAGACACTGCAGCTATTTTGCAACCATGAGAAAGATAGAGGACCAAAGCTTGATATCCTGAGTATCACGGAGCAAAAACATAGAAAGCAAAGGTTGTCATTTGGGCCGCTGAATGAACCAGTGTGTGGGGGTGGGTACACAGATGGAGGGATGGAGGGATGGAGGGATGGGAGGTGGGATGGTGATAAATCAGTAGGCAGATACAAGGATTTTCATGGGACAGGGGCTAAATGGAGGGATGAGTAGATGGATGGACGGGCAGACAGATGAGTGGGAGATGTAGGGGTGGATGGCTTGGAGGGAATTATAGGTGTACATCCATATTAAAACATAAAGCACTGGGGCTGGGGATTTAGCTCAGCGGCAAAAGCGCCTGCCTGGCAAGCGCAAGGTCGTGAGTTCAGTTCCCGGTACCGGAGAAAAAAACAACAACAACAACAACAAAAAACATAAAGCACTGTCTTTTATTGTCTAGAGGGCACTCACTCCAAGGCCTTCAAGGTCAGACTGGCTAAGGAGGATTTTCAGTACTTTCTTTTGAGCCCTCCTGCTTCCTCTTATTTTGTGTGCCCTGGACCCACCTGTCAGGACAATATTTGCCTTCAGTGTCTGTCACCTGGCTGGAAGGGCACGTGTCCACCTGGCTTTGTGGGGGCAGGGGTAGAGGTGTGGTCAAGCAGTGGCTTCAGAGTCCCCATGGCCAAAGCCTCGCTCTGTCCTTTGGGAGCTACCTGCCCTCGGCCTAGCTTCCCAGCCCCCAGTCTTCTTGCTGCACAACGGGGACCACTCATCCTCCTGAGCTGAGCTCTTTCTGCCAGGTCCACCGAGCAAAGCCGCCCCTGGCTGGAACAGCACAGCCCTGTCAGCCACCCTGCTGGGGAAGGCTGAGCCGAGGCTGGCAGGGCTCCTTGGAGCCCGCCCTGCAGATGACAGGAAGGACCAGAGGAAACTCTGCAGACCTTGATTGCTTCCTCCTCTCTGGTGCCACCAGAGGGGTAGGCTGTGGCAGAGCCTCAGGAGCTTGTCATCTGGAGCTGAAAGAGCAGACTGGACCCAAGCCAGCCCAGGGTCACAACCTGACATCCTGCAGCTTCCTGCGCTTCCTTGACCCAGGCTCCAGCACCCTCAATCCCATTCTGCCAGTTCCTCCGAGCACTCGTTAAGTCCCTGCCCCATGGAATCCTCTGCCCTTTACCCTCAGGCCCTTCCTGATCTTTTTCCTCTGTCTCTGTCCTCTCTCTCACAATCCCCTGTGGCTCCAGCAGGGTTTCCCACACCCAGACCTTTGTACAGGCCAACTTCCCTGTTCCCCTGTCCCTCCTGGCTCCATCCCTCACCTTTTAAGTCTCTCACCAAGTACCAAGTACTCCAGGAAAACTTTCTGCATTCCCATCAGGAGCAGGTACCCCACAAGACCCCACACAGGGTCTGCTTTTACTACACAGGTCACATCACCTTCCAGGTCTGTGAGGTTAGACAATGTCTCATTCTCTGCATGACACACCATTGGCTCCTTCTCAGTCAGTCACTGCAGGTTTATTCTGGTGCATCGGAGGCCCCCATGGGCCTTTAGCGTCCTCGTCTCACACTCACAGGTCAACACCCGTGGCAGAGATGCTCCTGGAGGTTCTTTCCCAAAGGCACCGATATGAGTTGAGGATGAGCTTGGCCTTGGCAAGGCACACAGTCCAAGCAAAGAGAGGGACAGCTCAACTCCCAGGATGGTCAGACCCCCAGAGGGCAGGGAGACGGTTCGTGAAGGGAGGCATCAAGCCACCCTAAGGGCTCCAGGGAGACTTCTGGAGGGGGTGGAGCACCTGGGTCAGGCCCCGTTTGGAAGATTAATTGATATCTACTTTGTGACTCATGCTGGGGATGTGTGAAACATCCCAGTTAGGTGCCCAGCACACAGAGGGGGTGTCCAGAG